AAACGTGTTTTTAAACAGTTGGAAATATACTTTTTGGGTAATAAACATTTATACTTTTAACACCTCTGAAGTAAAATAGAATAAGCTCCTATGGTGGGAATTAAAATGACTTACAGCAATGCTTTCTTTGTAAAGATTTTGTCAAATTCTTTTTCATTTATTGGGTTTATTTAAGATGCTTGTCATGTGGCTTTAAGTGGGAGGATTCATTTAACATCAAGTCCTGCCCCAATTTTTAAATATTAGCAGTTTGGTATTCAAAGTGTTCCTCTTTGATAGAATAGGTATGATACTTTGCTTCTAAGATCCACAACATTGGTTTTTATTTCTGTTTTATGACTAAGGATCATCTAAACATCTGCAATATGTAATTTTAATACCTATTAGAAGTAACTAATTACAAAGTGGTAGTATAGGTAAGTATAACTTTTAATTTTAAGCATGCAGGAGGGAATGAAACCTTAGGAGTAAAGACAGCATAGTATAGCATTAGTTCAAGTAATACTAATTGTGTAAAATGCATGTGCACTAAACCTGCAAGCTGTGGTTTTTCAGCAGTGTAATTTGCTGGTTTATCTGGAGATCAAATTGTGCATGTTAGAATGAAATGCCTGTCACAAAGTCTTATTTTTGGATGGTGTTGTGTTATCCAAGGCCATTGACAGGGAGATAAACACAGATGTTACCGGGCTGTTCAATAGAAAAAAACAAACAAACTTGGAGATACCTGCAGCATTTACTCGGTTTTTGAATACATTAAATCAAAAACCAACACTTCCATCTGACTTACCTTGAGGGTGTTTCTCTTTTGCATTTTTTTCTCTGTGGATTTAACTGTGCATCATCAGGACATATAATTAATCAGAAATAATTACATGCAAAAGTGTTTTCTCTGCTATCACAAGATTTGGAGAGGCAGCGCAGATTCATACAAGCAATAATTTCAAAACTTTTTGAATACCCATAATAAGCCCAAATTATCTGCCTGACTGGATACGTCTCCGGCAGCAAATTAGTTCTGTTGGTGAAACTAACCTCCTGAAAAGAAACGACATTGAACTCACTTTTCTTTCGTTTTGTTTTGACAAAATGCTTTTGAGTTACATCGTCAACATCTCAAGGCCTTCTTCCAATCATTTTCTCAAAAATGTGAGTGGAACTCGAGTGCTTCAGGTGATCCTAAATGTGGTGGAAAAAAAGGAGAGAAAATGCAGTGTGGAAAGAGTTACCAAAATCAATGGTGGAAAAAAAATAGTTTCTGTCTGGATTGGTCATTATCTTGGCCGGTAAAATCAGATAATATATAGGCTTCCATATCTTAAACTAAAGAATTGATTTTAAGAGCTAAAAGCAGCTTTGAGAGAAGAAGAACACATCTTTTATCAGATACCTTCTTTTGATGTAAGCCTTATCTCCTGCTGCTTTTCACACTGAGGGGAGCACGATTCTGTTTATTTCTGCTTCTCTCTTTTCATTTTCTCAGTATGCGTGTGTCTTTTCCACTGCCAGACCAACAGCTGCTTCTCCTTTGGCTGCATGGCCTCCGAAATGCGGATGACTAAGGAGAGTGAATGGGATTTTAATTTCACTTGTTAACGCTCCTTTTTCTGCAGTGCCAACAATACAAGCAGAAAAGTTTGGGAGGGAGGCAGAGGACGGGGGATAAACAGCAGCTTGTGAGGGACATAAGAGTACAATCTGAACATCAAGCTTGCAAATTAAGAGGATATTGATTAAGCCTGAGTGAAGAGTTTCACTCTCCTTCCTTGTCTCGGTTGTTGGTTAATTAAACATGAAGTGGCTCAGAGGGGGTGAGAAAAATGAAGCTGTAAGATTTTCCCAGACCTCCAGCACCATGAGATATATTTAAGCCAAAATACAACAACTATTTTCAGTGTAAAGATTTAAGTTGGAAAAAAGCCAGAGAATGTGCTTAGAAAGTACATTAAAGCTACGTCAAATGTCTGAGGAGGGGCAGTTAGATCTTTGTTACGACGAAGGACGACAACTTTAAGTCTCATTCAGCTGTTGCCAGGGAAACATGTCATCTAATTCTGTTTCTCAGATGATCTGCACATGTAATCTATGAAACACCTGGCAAGCAAAGATCAACAAAGTGCCCACTCATTGATGTGCAAGGCCGTCGAAAAAAGTAAAAAAAATAGAAGATCCTACTTGATTAAATGCCTGTTAAGGATGCAGCTTATCCTCAGCCAGAAATTCAGGGAGAAAATCAAACAAGCTCAAACTGTAAGAATACGTCTGAAATGTTCAAGATGATGAGTGTCAAGCTTGTGAAATGTGATAATCTCAGCAAAACCACAAAATCCTGCATTCCTGTGGTACACTCTGGCAGGAGGGGGGCGAATTGTGACATCCATCCTAAGTGAGATGGATTACACAGAGCCAAGTGGATTTGAATAACAAGCAATTTACTGGCTCAGATGTGATGCTGCAGAGGTGCAAGTCTCCTGCAAGAGGAGGTACTGAGCGCCAGTTTCACCAGGTGCTTCATTGAAACCATTCTCCTGCCTCCCGGTGAGCTGACCCGTTCCAACATGCTGCTGGATGACACAGAATGACACGTTGAAGCTCTGCTTTAACAGATGCTTTAAATATCAGTTTCAGCCTTTAGGTAATTATGAACAGAACAGGACCAGAAAAGTTTTAACAGGAGTATTTAACTAATAGATCATTCAAATAGGTTCTTTATTGTCTGGATATATATATAAAATATAGTTTCATAGGAATCATAAAACAATCAATGACTATCCGCTGTGATTTTCCCCGCACAGTCTTGGCATCTATGCAGCAACCAATAGGAGCAAGCGGCAGATGGCCTCTCTGGAGAATCCATTAACCTCAAAGGTTACCAGACTGTGACCTCGCAGGGTCATATCTAGCTCCAGAGAGTCAGTAATAGTTGTTGAGTCAACATGCAGGGCTTTAATCTAAAATGGCCTTTGCTTCTTGATAAACTGTATAGAAATGATGGATGCGGTTATCAGATGATGGAAGGATGATTTAGGACTATTCTATTCTCCTGGGTTCCAATTATATATCTAAGTAAAAGGTTTCCAACTATGAACTCACATCGGCAGGTATGAGAATCATATGCTTGGTGCTTAAATGAAAAGGAGCCCTCAGAGATCCATGTTTTTGACCAGTCAAGCTATATGAATAAAAGAACGCAAAGGAAAGAAAAGCAGGTGTAATGAATCATAAAATGATACAGGCAGCTAATTAAAGGGACTCAATCCAGTTATCATTTATTTCCATAATAGTTATTTATCTCAGTATAATGCTTTATCATGCAATAAAACGCTACCACTTGAAAAACAGTAGATAAATAATGGATGAGATTATCAGATGATAAAATTATGATTAAGGACTATTCTAATCCTATAAAAGAAGGGAAAATTATCTTATAAAATATTTAAGATAATTATTTTTACATTTTTAAATGGCTTGTTTCTTCTTGTTACTTTTATTTATAGAGTATCTAAAACAATAAAACAATAAGGGCACTATTTAAAACATTACTAATTTATTTTTTTCTTAATAACAAATAATTAATATATGCATTTTTTACCATTTCAGTGTTTTGTTTTCCCATTTTCTTTCAAAAGTTTATATTGGAAAATGGAAATTGACGTTAGATAAGAGAACCATAACTGCAGCCTCTGCTCTAAATCTTGCCAAAGGTTCTATATAATGCTGACGTCAGGACTCAGTGCAGACCAGCCAAGCTTCACCACGTCAAATTTTATACACATGAAGTTTTGGAAGTGAATGGAACATCCAAAATCAAAATCTGACCCAAATATTTTGGCAATATAGAGCAATTTCTCTATAAATATTGTAAATATCTGTTAATATCACAAAACACCTGTCTTTTTTAGAATATTATGAAATTAACATGATTATGAATAAGTTCTCAGCTAACCAACAGTTTTTCAAATATTGAGCCAAACATGTAAACTCTGTGCAGCGAGCCGTCCTTAAAAGTTTTTGGAAATATCCCTCTTTGGTGCAGGTTACTGTTGACCTTCTTGCTTTAGATGTTTTCCTGTGGTACATCTGATCTCACTTACTGAATGACCTCAGCATGTCATTAAGTTATGTAAAGGCTTGTGAATGGGTAAATCGGAGGTAATAAAAAACGCCAATATAACAGAAACTGGTGTCTAAACAATACATTTAGTGTTAAAAAACAAAAGAAAATATTCTTTTTTGAAACCTCCCTCACAGATATACATATGTACCTGTCCAGATGTTTGGTATTGTCATTCAAGACATGTTCTTCAGGATTTTGCACCCAATGGCCCAACTGTAAAAGTAATGTAATTACCAACAAATTCCTCTACTCATCTATCAATCCATATAGATTGATGGTTCAAGCACTGAAAATTTAAATTTAACACTATAGTTATACTTGAGAAGTACATAATAGACTAGTTTAAAATCTTGGAAGTAGATTAATACACTGGGTGAGGTGTGCCCTCTTGTGGCAACTAACTGATCCTACAATGCATAGTACTTCATCTGTTCACTTTAAAATAGGATTTTCTGAACACTTTTCATATGATAATTAGATCTGTGACTAACAATCATTTTGCTAATCAATTAATCAGTCAATGAATTAATAAATCAAAAATCTAATAGCAAATGCTTCCTTTAACAATTTCTTTTTACAGAATTATACCAAAGGAAACTAAAAGTTTTCGACTTAAGAAGTTCTAGATAGGGAATATTGACAGACTAAGAATTTTTTTTGATTTTTTTTTTTCTAAATGAAATTTTGGTATAATTACTGCTCTAAGCTGGTTGCTCTGCCAGAGAAAGGTGTGCCAAAGGCAAAAGAGGAGACTTAAGGCTCAAATAGTCTCTATTCTTCAGTTAAGAATTAATCGATTACTAAAATAGTTGACGATTATTTTAATAATCAATTAATCACTATTAAGTGTTTCAGCCCTAATGATAATAAATAACACCCAATACAAATCTGAGGAAATTAACTTTATTAATTTCATATAAAAATGTCACAAAAAATCCTTAGAAATTCCAACAGGTCCTTTAGGTTTATCCACAGGGAGACCAGACCTGTTTCACAGATGGAAGAAAGCGAACACTATTGAATCACTTAATCGCCCAAGTTTGATCGGCTGCTGTGACTTTTTCATGAATCCACCAGCAGAGGACATGCTGCCTCTGTTCAAATCCAACTTTCCTCTACCTACCTACATCTCTGACTCCTCCTTGCTCTCCCCCTTTTACTTCCTTTTCTCCCCCGTCCTCCTTTTCCCTTTTCTTTTATTCCCCCCCATTCTGACCCTTCGTGTCCCTAAGCTCTACTTCTCTGATTGGTTCCAGACGTGCCACTGAGCTCTTCTTGCCGACTCAACATTCCGCAGCTGGAGGCTGCGTACGCACATCACACACACACCTCTCCTCCTCCTCCCTTCCCCCTCAGTTTTTTTTTTTTTTTTTTTTTCACAGCAGCTTAGTAAAACACCAAAAGCCTCAGACTGAAATGGCTCCAAAGCATTCCTGCAAGCAGAGAGAGAGGAAGAGAAATGTACTCAGAGGCATGAGCTGAAGGACGAAGGTTAAACGTTTGAAATCTTAAAGAGATATTAAGCACCCTGCACAGATGGTGGGTTGGACAGTCTTTGGCAATGAAATATGTAAAAACAACATTAAAGATGTTTTCCTTCACGGCGGTTCAAGTGATGCTGCAGAAACAGAGCTGCTCCATACAAGAAAAATGACATCTTCAGGACAAAAAACCAAGCTGATGCAACATACAGTAACAAGAACCTCAGGTCATACAAACAAGATGCATCAGACAGTTTTTAAGAGAGCGTTCAAACAAAATGACTGCACTCAAAAAACTGCTGAATCAGCTCCAGATGGTGGTACAAAGAGCCAAGGCAAACAAAGTCAAGAATCGTAGATCAGAGACCGCACGCTAGTGATGAAGGCTAAGAGCAAAACCACCACAGTATGGATTTCAGGCTTTGGTGACTCCAAAATCTGATGTAACAAAACAACCCCCCAGGTTGTGCTGCACTAAAAAAGACTGTAGTCCATTTAAGACCAGCTTTTACTGCAAGGTCCTACTTATGTGCACAATTATAGTGTTCACCCTTACAGAAAGTTTGAGGTCAGCGAGCCCTTTCACACTTTTAACACGTTCACATCTGGACTTCTTTCTGCCCTCTCTGCCGCCAGCCTGACAGCCTTTGCTGACGTGTCAGGTCGCAGAGGAGGGAGAGAGGCAAGCTCATAAAAACCACAAACACACTTCACCGCTTAGGCTTCTCTACAGTTACACAGATAACCATAAAGTGAAAGAAACAAACGCAAAACAAAAAATGCATTCAAGTTTGGGTTAATACTGACAAGACAAAACAAATCTTACAAAGGAATGCAAGAAGAAAATCTGTCAACTTGGACAACGAAGAAGTGGATTTAAGTCAGAATAGGAACAAGACTAGAGGACTCTGTGTGCTAAAACTGAATTTGGAAAAAGACGAGGAGATCTATTTCATAAGACGGTTTTTTGGGCTGAATATTTCTGAGCAGCAATAAAACTTTTCACAGTAGATCAATTGCATGCTGCCTACGCATTTTGGAAAAAGCAGATGGGTGTATCTGATTTGTTCAATTTCTTCCTTTTCTTTTCCAAAATGGAGATTCAATTAGAAAAAAAAATAGCTGTGTTCTACACAGCTTTTCAGAATAAAAAAAAAAAAAAAAAAAAAATTTAGTTAAAAAGGGTTAAAAAAAACTGTTTCAGAATAAGAGTCTTCATCTGGTCAGGTCAAGTCCACAGGTCAGTCCGGAGCTACTCCGGCTGCTCGTTCAGCTCCATGTCGGACACCAAGATGTTCTTTTCGGCCTCCTCGCCGTGGCCTGAGTTGGTGCGGCTATAGCGAGCCCCTTCATATGAACCGCGTGACCCCGCAGTTCGCCGCCGGTACAGGTAGATCACTGTGGCCATCGCCAGAACCAGAATCAAAGCCGTCACAATGACAACTATCAGAATGGGCACATGGTCCAATTTCACTGGGAAAAATTACAGAATAGTTAGTGCTATACAAAGTATGCACAAGGGATACAATGAATGAATTGATAAGAAAATACATACCTGTTACATCTGATGTTTCAGCACCTGGAGTGGAAAAAGGAAACAGTTAATAACATAATTATCTAATTATTCTTCAAAGATTTTCTTTAAAACAAAAGGTTTCCAACCTTAGGTGTAAAAAGTGGTTATGTTTATTACTCAAGTAGAAGTACTGTATAAATCCTACTGTTTAGAAACACTTTTGTGTGTCAAGTAAAAGGGTAAAAGTACAATTTTTTCAAACTACTTAAAGTAAAAAAGTAAAATAATGCATGAAAAAAGTGTTAAGGACAGATGCTTTAAACCTCATACTGGTTACTGCACTGCCTTATTAGAGGAACATTTCTCTACAATTCCGGATAATAACTTCCTTATACATAATTTTGTTAGTTTTAAAACTAATGACAACACTGTCAAATTTAACTTTGCATCATCTTGAAAAAAAATATTTATTTTGGTATGTGATGAACAGCAAATTCAAGACAAAATAAATTGTTTGGATAAAACAAATGATTTTGATGTTTTTTTGAAACAAAAGTCTATTTTTCAAAATGTAAGGAGAAAAAAGTAGAGATAAATGCAAAAATATGAAAGGTGTAGAAGTAAGAAGTTGTCTAAAAAATTATAAAAAGTAAGAAGTAAAACCTATAGATAGCCAAAATTCCTACTTAAGTAACATAATATAGTATTTGTACTTTGTTACTTGACATCTCTCTTTCTAACCCACTGGTAAGTTTAAAATCACAAACATCCAGGTATTTTATCACAGTGTTTAAGTGCTGTACCAATACACAGTGGAGCATAACAAGAAAGAAGTCAAACAATGATCTCTTGTTAGCTCCTATTGAGCTAACATGAGATGTTAGCTCTGCAGGAGCTGCAGGGATCCACAGCTCAGGTGTAAAACAACTGTTGACATGGAAACTGTTTGTTATGGAAGAGTGGAAAGAGGCAACTTATTGTTGAACAAAAAAACTAATAAGTGAACCTTTTGTTGTTTGTCTCAAGTCATCTAGACGACACAACAACTGCTGAATAAAGTACCCCGATTAGAGGAGTTTAGAAACTGAGCTTTCTGGCCTACGTCTGTGTGAGGCAGAAAACTGACACTACACATTACCCCCGAATGCATGATTCACAGAGGAAAACATGTTAAGGGCAGCATCAGTCAGCAGGTCAAGGTTAATAGGAGAGCAAAATCTCTTAGAGATTGCATACAATTCTGGATTTTGGTGGAGGTTTACCATTCAGCTACGCAACAACCCTAAAAATACAATTAAAGCAAAAATGGGATTGATTTTAGATAAAAACATAAGCATATGTTAGAAGTTCTTGGTCAACGCCAGTAGATCCAGTTGAGGCAAATGTAGAAGAGTCAGCTGTTCAGAGATACTGTCCAAACAGTTTGGCTAAGGTTAAAAAATGATTAATGGTTAGAAGATATAAATGTACCTCTTTTGATGTGAAAGCTAAAAGGAGTCGAAGTAAAAGGTGCACTTTTAAAGCACTAGAGGGCTGAATACAAATGCATGCTAGACTTTCAAGATATTCACTGTTCTCAAAAGATACACAACATGTTTTCCTTTTAATTTACATCACTTTATTGTTAAATCAAATTTAACTTTAAAGGGGTCATAGAATGCAAAAACAAGTTTACATTGTCATAGGTGAATAACGATAGTCCAGTGGGTGAAATGGACGTACAGAGAAGTTCAAACCCTATTGATACCTCCCTTCTCTCCAAATCTCACAATTGTAAACTACCACCATAAAACGGGCAAATTCAGTTTGGTATGAAGTGTCAACTGCTGGGCCACTGGCTGGACCAGACCTCATCAGAGAGCCATGAGCCGCCCGTCCTCAGCCAGAGGAGGGGGGCTAGGGGCCGGTTACAGACAACCCAAGTCTCCTGGGAGTTGCGGGAGTCTCCTTGATATAGATAGTTGTTCACGGATGCCCGCAAGTCGGATAAATTATCCCAGATTCTAGATTAGAGCGTGCAGGCAATACAATAATTTGTGCACCATGTGCGGATTAGAACTACTTTGACTGCGCAGACAACAAGAGAGAGCGGGGTGTGGGGAGAAGAAACCTGTGCTGAGTATCTGTCCAAAGCGATGTGCATAAGAGTGCGCACTGATTGGATTAGTCAGAAAAATTAGCCAATAAGTTTCGGTTTACTCTCTTACAGTCACATAGTTGCCACTCCAAGCTGTGCAGTCTGTGAACAGGGTTTATACAGGAATGAATAACTCTAACTTAATGCTTTTTTAATGCTCTTTTAATGCTCTTAGGAATAATTTTAATGCCACCAACAGGTACCCGTCGACAGGCTGCAGGCATGTCTCGAATTCCTTGTTTTCCCGCCACTTTTGTTGAAATTGGCATTTTCCCCCAATTCTCTAGCTTTTTCCGAACATACGGCTTTGCGATCAACCGGAAGCAGTTCCACACAAATATAACGTGATATGTTTGACAAAATTGTTTTAATAAACAAATTTTTTTAAGAAAGCATTTAAAATGCCACAATAAACACATTTAATTAATTGTAATGCCAATTAAAGCCTTAATTTAAAAAAGAATAATTTAATGACATTTATTGATTTTTAATGACCGGCGGAAACCCTGGTGGAATAGCTTGAATCCTCCAGTAAAAAAACTGAAAATATAATTTTTTTGTTGCAGATGGCAGTTGCATTGTAGTCGACCAAAATCCCGGACAATTTTGACATTCCCCCCAAACATTTTTTCTGGTATGAAAAGTCGGACATGTCCGGGTAAAAGAGGACGTCTGGTCACCCTACCATATCAATTATTTGATGTTTCAGTGAGTGAGTGATTGCTTGTTGCTATAATGCGTCTTTGTTCTGCAGTTTCGCTCGTTGGAAACCAACCAATCAGCGCACAGCTCATCTAAATATTCATGAGCATACCATAAGAGGAAGAATACCTGTCGTTTCATTCTAGGCTTGCATTAGTGCTCATAGTAGAGCAACTATGCCATTTTCAGCCCGACCAATGTTACACACCCTATTCAAAGACCTTAAGGACCAGCACCGAACGCCCTATATAATCATTCTATGACCCCCTCTAAGAAAATAAAAGGAAGCTTGTGTTTGTAATGCCAGGAATGTGAGAACCTTAGAGGGTCATAAATACTTTAGCAATGCACTGTATAAACCGTTTGACTTGTGTTTTTCGTATACGTACTACGAGGCTTTTTGCAGATCACCCCGTGCGTGAGATTTCTGCAGGAGCCAGGCTTCCACCGGCCGCTGTTGCTCTGGATCCAGAAGCAGGAATTGGCCGAAAGCACTGAAAAAGCGACGTTGCGGGATTCCCAGTTGGTAAATGACAGGTCTGTATCTTCGTTCCACACAAGACGTCTCTCTGTGACACAAACATGAAGTATGATGAGAGGCTTGGAAAAACAAAACATATAAACTACCAAACCTGCCATACTTCTGCCTGAACTGTGCAGTTTCAATGGATTTAATCTCCTCATTATCCAAGCCAAGCACATTTCACAGCATTTGTTCTGATTGATAAAACAGGCAAAGAAATAAAGTTTTACAGGATAAGTTTTATAATAACAAAAAACAACCCTGCTAATCAGCATTCCTTAATAACATTTTTTTAAATCAACGTAAAAAGCACAAAAATACATAATAAAGAAAATGATTTGGAAATATTTTGTTAAGTGAATTAACTATGTCTGTATTTGAAAAAGTAAAAGTTAACTTCTGTGCAGAAGGAAGTAGGAACTTTCTGTCGGACCTTTAATGCTGATGCCCAGCCAAGCTCCACGCGCCTGTTCTGCATAACTCTGGATGTGCTCCCATATAAAGTTGTTCTCTACCTCATCCAGGACGGAGAGAAGTTCTGCTCCCACTAATGGAAACAAAAAGACAAAGATAGAATAAAACCAAAGTCCTGTGAAGAAGCATTCTGATCGTCGTGTTATATATTTTTTCTGTACAGCAGGCTTTCTCACTTTTTTTGCAGGATGTGAGCGCGTCCTGTTGCAGTTTAAGTAGCTGCAGGTTAAAGGCATAGCAGTGGTTCCTGAAAGGGACCCAGGCCCACTCTCCAACAGAGTCGGGGCACAGTCCTGGGTAGATCCACTGATGAAACACAGGATCATCTGTAAGGATAACAACAGCTGCAGTGAAAAAGCAGCTCAGCCCGCAAATGCTTTAAACCCTCCTTCTTTAAGTCTCCTTTGTTCATGTGTGCTTTGGCACGTAATCCTTAAAAGTGCCCCTGATCAATGGTTCTTCGGCTTATCTGAGGGTCTTTTGAAGGATTTCATGGGACGATAGCTGCTTTTTCAACACATCTCTCTTCAACCCTGGTAACAAACAAGGACATTATTTCGTGCAGTACTTGCACCTCAAGCAGCCCCCCATCATAAAAATTTTGAATTTCTTTATTTTTACTCAAATTTTAAACACTATGTTGATCAGAGGTGTTTTAAACTTTTGATTATTACTCAGTTATTATGATGAAACACAGAGTTCTTTTTTTCTTCAAAATAGGACGAATAAAAGAACTCGTTACTCAGAAGGGGGTGTGTGCAAATTAACATAACTCAGTCAACAGCTACAAGTAAGCCAGTTATATGACATTGTAACGTAGTCAGAAGAAGTTTAAGCCAGGTGTGAATGTCTGTAGATGACTAGACTTAGGCTAACTTTATTGTCATTTTATATACACAGAGTGTATATAAAACAAGTTTTCAATGCATACAGCTTTTCAACAGTGAATGAGCAGCTTAGCAGTGAAATGAACCTTCCCATTTAGAAAGTGCAGCAGTGATCAACATGTAAAAAGTGTAGGAGAGAAATGGTTCAAAGGCATTGATATGGAAGGTTCAGAGCAGTGCAAAAATAAATAAATAAATAAATATGGTGGAAAATGCAGTAGAAAACTGAGTTGAGTTCTATTTAAAGGAATTAGAAAATTCGCAGTGTAGTGCAAATATGATGTTTACAGTGTGATTCAGAGTCTCGATTTGTGACTTGATTAGAGTTTCAACAGTTCAACAGTCTTATGGCAGTGCGGAAAAAGCTGTTGCAAAACCTGCTGGTCCGGCATCAAATGCAGACTAAGGATGTAGAGCTTAAAGTTAGCGCCAATGTTTAATACAGAAAGACAATAGGAGAAATTGAACAAAAAAGCAGCCAAAATCCAAACAAAGATCCTTAGAATGCTGCAGAAATATATCAAGACCACATTAGTCTGATTCTTTGAGGCTGGATATTAAAAGATTTCAGATTGAGTTAAAACACATTAACTTTACTCATTTTTTTTTTTATAAAATACATACCACTAATTTCACATATAGCTGCCTCCAATTTATAATCACAGGGAGTCGTAGTCCACTCTCCTGTAGTGGTCATGTGACCGCATCCAGCCATCAGATTGGGCTCTCCATCCTTCCAGTTGGAGTATTTGACCTCTTCATTACCTAACCATGTAAAGATTCGTCCCTGTGCATTAATGATAAAGCAAATGCATTTGTTAGGTGACCTCATAGACTGACTCATTAAAACGTAACGAGACGGTCGGTTACTTACTCCATAGTTATAGAGAGAAATCCAGGCTGACTGGTGCAGGCTGTTGATCAGCAGCGTCAGATAGGCCTGTTGGTATGGATCATTTACATCTGCAAGTGTCCCGTTCAAAGATTCACAGATGTGGAGAGCACCAGTCCAGTCAAGACGCTTCTTCACAATCCGATATGTCCTTCCGCCTAGCTCCACAGGCTTTAACAAGGAGTCAGGAATAAGGGGCGGAGCCGGAGGAAGAGCTTGATCTAAAGTCAGACATGACGAATATGTTTGCTAAGTTATCTACACAGTTTTTCTTCTGGTTGTTGATGATCATCATACCTGGCTGCTTTTGACAGATGTAGCCGAGGTTCTCCATCTCGCAGGCCCGGGAGGCCCACATCCCAGTTCTCCTATCGGGGTTCCCATAAATCATTGCTACACAGTTGCCCTGAAGCAGCATTGAAACAGTCAGAACAGTAACAAACTACAGACAGAGGCAAAACATGAACAGAGAGCACTGGGAATACCCGCGTCTTGTTGTGATGTGGGCCGCTGTTGTCTATGGGCTCTCCGGGGGCCCAATTGGTGTAGCTGAGAAGGCCGGTTCGGGCCCAGCGGAAGTGGCCCTCGGAGTCTGAGGTCAGACCCACCCAGAGGTCAGTGCTGACGTTCTTCAACAAGGTGATGAGGAAAGCTGTGAGGCAGAGAAGCAGCTGTATCATGTCTGCTGATTTGACATTTATACCAACTGAAGCATCTATTAATTACCTTGATCTAAATGATTGGACACCAGAGCCAGTGTGCCTCGCTTGCTTTCACATGTCAGCTTGGCTGCAGCCCATGTGACCACAGGCAACTCAAATACTTTGAAACACTATAGACAGCAAATAACAGCACAGTTATAGTTAAGGCGTCAAGGTTTTTTAATCTATAAGTCAAATAGAAATCCGGGCACCTTATGCTGATAGAGCGACCATCCACTAGGACAGCCTGAAGGGGGATGAGGGGCTGATGGCGTCGGAGGAAAGGTCCCTGTAACGTTCACCCTCTTACAGATGTAGGGCAGATCAGAATGGCATTTCTGATCCCTCCACTCTCCTATTTACATGCAGCACAAACAAGATCTCACCTGGTAAACGTCCATTTGTGTTTGGATTAGTCTGGCAGGATTCATTTCTGGACGATTTTACCTTTGCTCACTGACATGCTGATACAGCGGCGATCACGGCTCACCGTTAGTGGCCTGCCGAGCTCCCATGAAACATAATTGAGCACAGAGTTGTCAGACCAGCGGAAACGACCGTCATTTTCATAGGTGCGGAGCCCCAGCCACCAACTATCCATATCAGACTTCAGTATCTACAGAGTAGATAAAAGAAAAAAAAATGCAAAGACACTGAATGTTAATATTATAAAACAAATAGGGCTAAAACAATAAATCGGATTAATTGTGATGAATCGCTTATTGAAATAATCGTCAACTAATTTAGTAATCGATTAATCGTTAACTGGAGTATAAAAACTCTAAAACATGCCTTTAAAAACTTTAAAACATGCCTTTAAATATAGATAAATATTTTGCATTTAAGATTAAAAAAAACTATCCAGAACTCCTCAAGTTTTAGTGTAACCTGGTTTAGATTAATCGATTTGCAAAATAATCATTAGTTGCAGCCCTAAAAACAAAAACACTATCATAAATTCAAACCTGTTCACATGTAAGACTTATTTCAAAAAAACTGCAGCACCTTGTTTAAACTGTTGCTCAGGAAAACCTTTTCCTCAGCTGAGTGGACGGAGGCCAGAGAGGAATGAAACCAGGAGCAGATCCTCTGGGCCTGGTCCCAAGTGGTGCGATGGTCGAAAAATTTATACTCAGCCTCATGGAAGGGAATCCACTCTGGAGAACTGGTGCCTTATTAATCAAAGGCAGGGGAAGGCAGACGTGATGCATTTAGGGATCTAATTTCAATGTACAAAAGAAAGATGGAAACTAAATGGAAAATGGAACAGACCTTCTGCTTCTTCTGGTACAATCTCAGAACTTCCTAAAAGCACAAATGAAAGAAAAACATACATTATTAGGTTTTATATGTTACACAGAAAATAAATTATAACCAAAAAAAAAAATAAATTAAGAACATTTCTAGTAAAAAAATGTATTTTCCTCATTGATGCAACACACATGCTCTGAAAAACAAATCATAAACAAATGAATCTAAGACAGGCATATATTACCTAAATAGTCGTGAGAGGATTGCTCTGCTAAATTGGCCCAAAAAACATCTAAAGAACACTAATGCCAAAGTAAAAAGTGATGGTAGCATCATTCTCTACAGTTACTTTCCTTCAGATGGAACAAGACTTTTATCGGGGCAGACAGAATTGATAACAGGTCCACATTCAAGTCAGTATTCACCAAAAAATAAATAAATAAACAAAAAACGTTCAAGTGACCTAGGGAAAGTCAATAATGAGACCAAATTAATTTTTAGGAATACAGAATGTCCAAGTGCACATGCTAATTCAAAAATAGAAAAGCTTCACCTAGATGAACATTACAGAAAAATAATTAAAAAAATCAGTAAACCTTGAAAATACTTTTCATAAAAACAATGTTTCTGCAAGTGACTTCCGTATTTCTCCTACAGAAAATCTCAATGTGAAATGATGACTTTGTGTGATGATAATTAAAACTGAAAACCTTTGGGAATCTTGCAGATCCAGTCTAACTGAGCGTCACAGTGCATGGGCTGCCAGGTCACAGTGCCCAGGTCAGCTGCAGCGCACTGTCGGGTGCTGTAGTGGTAGCGGCCAAAGTTCTGGTATGTCAACTGAAATACAAGTAAAGCAAAAACAGGATGTGTTTATGTCACTTGCATCAGCTTCTTTTGGAGGTTATAGCTGGATACTGTTTGCACTCACAGGCAGTCCATCGCTCCACTTCCAGCTGCCATTGTCTGTTGGATTCCTGCGGTTCAGACCGATCCAAAACCACCGATGCTCATGCTCCTCTAACTCTCTGTAGGCATTAATATCATGTTATTATTTTGAAGGTAGACGAGTAGATCATAGTAGACACTGTTTCCTCTACAGAGTTTAGCAACCCAGGTAAAAATCTGTTCAAAGTTATAAAATTAAACCACATTTTACTGCAGCAGCATAAGTTGTGTCTATAGGATTTAGGACTGGGGACTAAAATGTTTATGGAAGAACGTTGAGTTAATGTCTGGTACATCTTTATGTTGATTCGGTCAGGTATTCTGGATCAATATGTGACCTGATTGAGATTCGTTATTATGGGCAGAAGCCTCCAGGTTTTTATTTTAAACATTCATATAGTTTGTAGAGTTCATGTCCAAAACAAATGGGCCCACAGCATCACAACCAACACTCTCCCACCATCATTAGGTGCTTGGTTATTTTTCATAAAAGCTGCAATAACCATGTTGTAAACTGGAAGTTTTCACCTCCTTAACAAATATCTTGTAAACTTTCTGATCCTGACTGAGTATTTAGTGTTCTTGATAAACTCACAGTCAATACGCACCCAAAGATCCTTTGAAGGACCTCAAGGACAAACTGCTCCTCCTCAGGGCTGCCAATGCTCAGCAGATTCCCTCCGTGTTTCTGGCAGAACAGGTGAGCATCTCCCCATTTAAACTTCATCTCCTTGTTATCGTTGTGAAAGACCTGCACAAAGGCCTGGTGTCAGTCCTGCTTTAATGCTACAACAGATGTTTCTCCAACTTACTGTGGAAGTTGTATAAAGTGTGCAGGAGGAACCTTGTAACAGTAGCGCAGTTTGCTGTTGCTCTTCCACCCATAAGGACAGGTGCCGCTGAGGCTGGGAGTGGGGTGCGGAGCAGGGGGTTCGGGGTTCTGAGATGCATCCTGATTCTGACGGCAGATGAACTTCGCCTTTGCCGAGGCACACTCCTTCACCTCCCACAGCCCCGTGGCAGAGCCTGTTGCCATCGCAACACAGCCACCGCTGATGTTCTCTAAATCAGATGGAGAGCGGGGGGGTTACAAGTGGAAAATCTGGTTTCGCATTTCCTATGAGTGGAAAAGTGTTTGATCTCAAAATGCACAAAGAACAAGTAGCAAAGTCTGATAATGCTATATTGCTCTGGTTTAACATAAAAGAAAAAAAAGTGACATGCTCATTCATAGTTTGCAGCCTATGCATAATCAACCTGCTCTCTTATAAATATCAGACAACTACTGAGGAAAATTTGTACAAAGATCTGCCAGAGTCAGACCATATCATTTCACAGGTTACTCTGAAAGCTTTAAAATGTGAAATAGTTAATGCCTCAATCTAAAAAAACAATAGCACCTGTTATATGAACACATCTTCGGATTTTGTTTTGAAATTATGTCCACTGTGAATTAAACTTCCATTACAGCACTGTTAGCACTCCTCTGTGCAGGGCAGACTAAAGAGTATCATGCCTCTACTGTATGGGTGCAATTATATTTTTTACTAAATAAATCAAAGTTGGGTCAGAGTCAGAAATTAGCCTTGAGTTTAAGCGAACTAAAACTCCCAGGAAGTTGATAGTAGATTAAACTCTAATTACCCTTTGAGAAAGAAAACAAATCAATTCATCAAACCGTGAGAGGGAGAAAGAGGAAGCAAATGAAGCAAAGCCAAAAATATACAAACAATTAGGGGGGGAAAGCTATTGTAAAAGAGCCTTCCAGAATTTCAGAATACACTTTTAAACATTATATATGCTGAATAATGTTGCAAGCAATGTGATAGAAAAAAGTACAATGATTCTGGTGAATCTTACTATAATGAATTACACAAATGCTCATGCTGGGTGTGTTTATGCTCTGGAAATTGTGGTCACAGCTCTCAGGGGGGGAGAATGCATTGATCAAATTAGAGATTTTCACTGCAATAAAAGCCATTCTTTGTGATTGTGATATTGTGCACAGTGAAATCAGGATCACTTTTAGTTTTAAATACATTTTGCTGCACTAATCTGTACGGTTGCACTGATCGTTTAGCCCCGATGTCTTTAGCTTTGTATAATGTGAACCTGATTCTTTCCATTAATTTGATCAAATACATCTATCAACACCATCAGAAAATCCGTTTGTTTAAATTTTAGGTCTTTATTTTTGAAAGGTTTTTTTTATGTTTTCAATAAAATAGGATTGAATTGGATAAAATTGGAGATTTTGACAAAGCAGAATAATGTTTTCAAATCTCTGCTATTGTTTGAGCCTCTGATGCGCCGCTTATGGCCCTGTGGAGGAATGCATCAGACCTCTTAAAAGCTTTCACCTCATTCCAGAAGACAATAACATCAGCAGTGTTTCAACCAATCTACTCTTCTGTTCACTTCACCTTTGGAAATGCGTTGAAATGTGAATTTATACTTTGCACTGGTGAGTTTTTTATCTTCCAAAAGAGGACCTGCTTTTACCCAGAGACTGTTTGGCTTCTGCATGAAAAACGGACACATGGGCGCTCAATCAATTACCCAACATTTCACTTAGTCTTGTGTTGTTGATCCGTACATGTTTTTACAAAATGGCTAAAAGGTCACTATTGTAAAAAAAATTATCAATAAGACTATCTATAGAAATAAAGGATTATCTTAGGTTAACCTTTAAATTAACTACTGGACACAAACACAGAGAACAAATTCGATATTAAAAGGCTTTTTTTTTAGCTTAGCTTACATTTAGATCCCTGTTTTTCTGTTTCTGTGTCTGATCCTCTTCTTTTCAGGCAGGGGTGTGTTCGCTGTGTGCAGTAGATCAGCCACTTATGCTAAATTCTCATCCAAAGAGAGTTTGTCTCTGCCTGCATGGATTATCAACAGAGTTAAATAGGAGCGGCTGAATGGGGGAATTTCTCAAAGCAAGCTCCGACCTTTTCTGTTCTTTCAAATAAGACAATTGGTAAATATGCAAACATGTTTCATGGGGTTGTTGTTAAGTAAAGGAAGCGACAGCTACCATGGAAATTTAGATTTTATTTTATTTTTTAGTTAGAGCAGTTGGAACTATGCAATTTGTGTGAGAATAACTATTTTGGAGGTGAAACTTATAATTTTGGAGATCAGAGCTTTCTTACATGTGCTGAGCTATATACCACACAAAGTTCAGAATGGATGATGTGACCTCTTCAGCAAATCACATAAAGATGTTATTAAGGATGACTTGTGTGATTTACCAGGCTGGTCTCGGTTCCAGTGGGTGTAGGAAACTTCATCTCCACTTAGCCAGCGGAATAAACCGTGAGTCACCTGGTCATTCAGCCCGATCCAAAACGAATCTCCAGAGCGGCCAAACACCAGGCTAGTGGTGAAAGCCTGCTCGAACCTTTACAATAACAAAATATATTCCCCATCAAGCATTATAATTAGCACAAAGAAACGTTCCTGTTTATTTGGTCTATGTGAGTTCTGGATGTACCTGTTTGTGATAGTAACAAGAGAGGCTCCCTGTTCTTCACACGATTTTCTGGCCTCATCAAAAGTGGACAAATCTTCTCCAACCCAATAACAAGCTGGACTGTGCCACTTCCAACCCTTAGAAGACAGATATATAAATGATACTACTCTTCAAAACAGTTAGGTGAAATAGCACTGCTGAATAAAATGTTCAAGTACAGACATGCAACATAACATTTTTCTGCCCTACATTTTTCCTGCCAGGTCATGCATGAAAGCTAAGGACCTTTCCAGACACAGAGCTCTGCCAGCAGGCAAAATGAGGTGAGATCCTGCATGAAAAGACCTCAGAATCTTTTTTCTTTGTATACGAAACCAGAAATATTTCCAATCTCCACGAAAAACTCAGCTAACAGCTGTTTGAGAGAACAGATCGACTGAAACAAAACCTCTTCTTTGTTGTCTTGATTAAAAGATGTAAGCCTCATTTATCATCTCATGTAACCAAAAACCTTAATATATTTTCATGTGCTTGATCAACACAGTAATGGACTGCAAGGAAACTATTTACAAATGAGAATCATGTGTAACTTATCTGACCGTTAATTACCAAAAATTAAGTTTTGCTTTTATAAATACTTGTTCTTCCAAAGTCTAATAACATCCTGTTTAAATAAATTCTCATAGATTTGAATTAAGAGTTCATAAATACGTATGTCTAGGTCCACACAATGGAGGGCGCCATATTGGGTCGTGTCTATTTGACTACAGTTACTGAAATAGGAAGAAGCATTTTTTTTCTGATGCTCCACCAATCTGGAGGCTAAAAGGAGATTAAAAACATGTTTGTTTAGAGGGGTCCTTCTACTCTAACATTTAGACACTTATTGTTTATTTCCAGTCCAACTTTCTTGTTAACTTGCCTTGTTTGCCTGACAGATTCACCAGCCTGAGCTGTTGATCTATTCAGCTCCTCTAGAGTTAAAATGGGATTTTTGGAAGCTCTTGAACTCGCCTTGCAGGTTAGCATTCCGCATCTGTTTGCTGTTGCAGTGTAGTTTTTTTTTTTTTTTTTTTTTTTTGATAGATTAACAGTGTTCCAGGAGATATTTAAAGCTAGGCATATTTTCTATAAGCTAATTCAGAATTAGACTCAATAAAAATGTATGCAACAAATTTCCTTTAACTCATTTGCCTTTCATGCCACTATTATGCACCACTTTGCTTTGGTCTATCACATAAAATCTCAATAAGATACATTAAAAATAGTGTTTACAAAATGATGTAAATGATGTGAAATGTGTATATAAAGCTCTGAAAAACAATGTTATGGGATTTGTAAGTATAATGTAGATCAAAATCAGACCATAAAGACTTGACTGACCAAACAAACAATTTTGACAAAAACACAAAGCATTACATGGAATATTTTACTTCTATATCTTTCTTTCATCTAGTGATCAGGGGCAGATTTAGGAAATTTGGGGCCCTAAGCAAAGACAGACATGGGAACATGTGAATTTAAAAGACAACACATAAAATAGACCCATTATACAGATACAGAACATTTAACAGAACAGACGCACATTATTTGTTCTAGATTATGTCCCTACTTATCCCTTCGTTTGTTATTTTCCTCTGTTTTCTTTTGTACCCTTTTGTTCTTATATGGGCAATATTGGCACTCAGCTGACTTTTCATGCTGTCTCAAAAGGCATTAGATTTTTCCAATCACTAAGCTCATTCTCACTTAGTTAATTGCTCCTTCCTGTGTTTCCAAAAAGGCGAAAACCTTCGTGCATGCACAGCAAATGAACTGATCCCATGTGGTGGACACTGAACGGGGGCCCCAGAAACACACTTAATATTATAAGCATTGTGATGGCATTTTAGTAAATTGTTTTCTATCAAAAACATAATTAATGTGCACAAATAAGTAATAGCTGTATTAAACATACATACAAAATGAGTTTTATGGGGCCCCAACTGCCTAGTTTTGCCTAATGGGAATTCCGCCTCTGCTAGAGATCCAAAACCATGTACATTGGACTACAATATTTTTTTCTACTTTTCCTTTATCTATTTACTCATGAAGCATATAAGTTATACTGTTAGAATAAAACAATTATCCCCAAAAGCAGCAGAAATTGACCACTTAGAACCAGAACAAAGGGAGACAGTAAGAATATTATAGTTAATCTATAAGCACTTTAAAGCTAAACATGATTAAGGGAAGCTACTAATCAGGTTTACAGATAACCTGAAGATAAAGATAAGGGTTTATTTTAACCACAAGGTCCCTGTTTCATTTTAGTTTTTCAGAGATTTTAAAACTAAATGTAAAAATAACTGGTCCTCTTCACAGGAACAGGAAAAAAAAACTAAATAAACAGGATTCAAGACCAATAAATATTAGATCCAAGACCAAAGAAGGAAAAGTGTAACACCTGTTTGCACTCTTGGTTTTGTGGCTTCCCCTCACTCTTTGTTCCTGGTTTCTTGCAGATGAACGGCAGAGTCAGATTACAGGGACTGTCGTCCCAACGGCCTTCCTGCACAGAACAGTTGGTTCATGTATGCAAATGGCCCACACTCACACCCAGCACGGATCATTCAGTGTCAGCAGATCATCTGAAAATGCACAGGTTACTCACAGGGCCCCACATGGAAACACAATCTTCTTGGGTGTTGCGAAAGTTGTTGGGTTCAAACGGGTGCCAGGGGGTTAGGGTAACGGGTGTGTGGTCGGTCCACTGGAAGTCCATTTGCATGTCCAAGTCATGGAGCCCGATCCATAACTGCTCCAGGTCTGAAGACATAGAAAAAATAAATATTAGGTTGAAAAATACAGTTAAAGAGTAAATGAATCCTGAATGGAAACAATATTACGTGTTAAAGGAGCAAACCTTTTTTTTTTCAGGGTTTCTTATAAATTTTGCACCAAATGCTAAAATAATTTTCCTGAGATTACATTAAAATAAATCACCTTTCTTCAGGTTGCGAATGATGAACTCCAGCTCAGGTAGAGTATGGATGCTAACCAGACTGGCGTCTGTCTTCTGGCATGTTTTCAGAGCTTCATTCCAACTCCTATTCTCTGAGAAAAGTTTGTAGCATCCAGCCTGGAAGGACTGCCAGCCCACATCACACTCATATTTGTAGTCATTCACCCATGAATCTAAAGAAGAAAAAACATAAAAAAAATCACCAGTTACATTAATACCCAATTATAGCACATTTTCTTTCCTTCAGAAAGTTAAATAATGGACCTGTAGTGAAGGGATCCAGTGTGGCATTGGGCCTCTTCTTACAGGCATAGGGTAAAGCATCGGAGCAATCTCGGTTCTGCCAACGACCCGATGACTCAGATCTGACCACGACGCAGTTCTCCTCCTCGACATGACTCGGCTGGTCTGTAGTTCGGTAAAACCAACAACAATATATTTTTTTTAAATCACCAATTCACTGTGGGTGCTCAATAAAACTCACAAATAGATGTTAGTCAGCAAAATCTAAAACCAGACTGCATGTAGCCCTTTGTGGGAAACAAAGTATGTTTGTAGAAAACCAAAAAGATGGCTTTTCTAGTCTGACCTGGATCCCAGTTTAGATATTTGACTGGTGAGGAGTCGGACCACTGCCAGCCTCCACTGAGCTCCAAGTCATTGAGTCCGATCCATAAAGCGGAGCTGTGAGAGTTTAGAATACCTACAAACAAATAAAAATTACTTTAGTCTTTACAGCAAATTCAAAATAAAACATTTCCTCAAACAATGGTAGAGAAAAATGATGCTGGATCCTGAATAGGGAATGGAGGGGTCACAAGTTGATTAAACAGGAAACACAATTTGCTCTGGTGCCAAATAATACCAAATAACCCCATAATAACGATTTATAGAAAACAAACTGAATAATTTAGAAGAATTGTGCAAAACCACTCATAAGAGTTGCATCGGGGGTTAAAGAGGTGAAAGTTCCTGCTGCTAAGTGCTAACAAACCTGACGAATGGGTGACATCCAGACATAAACACAACCATCAGCCCTACATGTTTGTGCTGTTATCATCCTATGGTCTCCATCAATATATCATTAAAAATAGTTACAGGCAGCGATGATACCTACATTTGCTTTAGAATAAATGAGATATTTGTGAATTTTATTTTAACTCAATCCATTTATCATCAAAAGTTTAGACAGTCCACTACTTTTTAATCAAACTTTAATGGATACTTTAATAGCTTATTCTATTTATACACTAATATGAAAGAGGTTGAACTTTACTTTATTAAGATGGATCTGTTCCCTTTGTTGTTTAAGTAAATTAAATAATCAAACACTGTTCATATAAAGAGCAATGAGATTTATCCTTTCTTATTCTTTGTAGACATATATAAGGGTTGTTGTGAAGATAAGCATTTCAGGGTTAAAATACATGTTTTTAATGCAGAATCCATTCACCATTGATGTAGGTCTGCTCGTGTAGCTTGCCGATGCTTAACAGGTCTGCCCCCTGCTGTTGGCAGCTGATCCGAGCCTCGCTCCAAGACAAAGTAGCCTGGAAGTTAAACTGATAACAGCTGTCTGTCACAGGGTCAGTATACCAGAAGGCCTCACAGCTGCTGCCTGACGGCGACAAAAAGGGTTGAGATTTCAGTCAAAGAGCTCAAATTCTGAACATTTATTTTTGTTAGGAGCTTAGGAACCTTGTTTTGAACGTATCAGGGGATGACTTACCCTTCATAGGACAGAATCCCCAGCTTTGGTCTGTATCGTAGTTATAGGTGGTGGCACACCAAAGATAGCCATCTTCACGCCCGCTGGTTGTGCAGGTATGAAACCACTGGCCGTGGTACATGAAGGGCAGGTGGCAGGGTCGGCCGTAGGAATTCCCCTGGATTGTGTAGATCTCTGGACAGAAAGCAGATGTAAGAAGTTTAACACTTCTGCTGACCTGAAATAATTCACTTGTTTTCTCAGGAGGCAAAAACAGACAATGATCTTACAATGAAAACAGGGAGTGAAACAGTGGTTTAGCAACTCCGGGTTTTTTTGGGGAACCAACTGTTCTGTGCAGGAAATCGACGTAGAAAAAGATTTTAGTCATCAATCGAGCAGCACTATGATTTACTTGTTTGGATTCTAATTTAGAAAGCAGTAAAATGTGAGTAAAAAGGTAAAGGATGAGAATAAAAAGGAAGAAGAGTCTTTCTTTCTAAACCAGATCAGGCCAACGGAGGGAGAGCAACAAACCAGGGAGAGAAAACTTTCTCCCTGTCTTCCCTCCCCTGCTGGCTCTATTGGACATGACTCAACCTAGAGGCATTTTTCTTTCCTGCAGCAGAGAGACCATTTCACACGGAAACTTTACATGAAAAACTCCAATCAGACAATTACCCGGCCAAATGAAATCAAAAAGAGAGGAGAGATGATGAAATAAGTGAAGTTAGACTTTCTGGTTTTATGGATATTCAAGCTGAACCTGTTCACCACAGACTAGATTTCACTGAGGCCTGCAATAGTTTCTGAAGATTGTTTAATATGTGCAGGAATGGTGCAGAGAGCAAGAAAAAGGGCTTAGCTACAACCCACGATGGTTAACTTAAGTCTGAAATGAAAAAATCATACAAAAATATCCTTAAAGCCAAGGAAAATGTTTTGTGTTTGATGGATTTTACAAACAGCGGTGAGGTTTTCAGTGGTGGGCCACATCTCCTCCCCTCAAAGCACCCTTCTCCTTTATCTGTGTGATCAAATACAGCTGTTTGGTTCACAAACAGTAAGTCCAGCTGCCACACAGAGGCGGAAATGCGCAGGAGGGAGCAGCTCACCGGGTGAGCGTGTGTTTGGAGAAATGTGGGAGATGCACAAGCATCTGTTATCCTAGATTTACAAAAACACTTTTTAAAGAACAAAAGGAAAAAAATACAGTCTGCCTTGTGGAATGGTCCAGTCATGAAGCCCACACCCAAAGCCAGACAAAACCCTCCTCATCATTGTGCATGTCTGATCCTCAGCTACTGGAAGCTTTTTTCTGAGGTTTTTCATGCTAAAAGAGGTTCAATAAGGTTTAATGTGACTTTCACACACATCCAACAAAAGTTACATTTACAGTGGTGATCTGCATTTCTCATACTGCCTTGTGACTTTATCAGATCACAATCACAAACTTATCCATTTTTATGTAAACAAAAATCATACAAGTTAGATTTGCAAATAGATTATATTGCTTTTCTGAATTAGTCCTTTGAAGAACCGACAGTTGTAGTTGGAGAGTAAAAACCTACAGTAATCATTTTGTTCTAGCTTGTTGTCTAAAAGAGCTTAAAAAACACAATAATACTCAGGATAATTGTGACATATTGTTTATATGGCCCTAACCCTACATACAGAGTATTACTCTATATTTGCAAGGTACTAATAAAAACAATAAAATTACCACAGGTAAAATTACTGAAAATACCAAGAGCAATAAAATCATAATATCAGAGGACAAAATAAAGCAATAAAAGTAGTTTAACGTCATGTAAAGTAGGTTATTGGTAGTCTGTATTATGTAAAAGGATGGAAGGGATGAAAGGGCAATGACCTTATATTTTATGCAATTGATTAGGGAATTGAGGCTGCTCTACATTAAAGGAATAGTACACCCAAAACATGATTAGCCTTCATTTTCTACTCACCCCCATGCTGAACAACAC